TACAATACGGTATTGGTTTTGCTTATTGTTGAAGGCCATACGATGACCTATAATTGTTTAATTCCCCATCCTTTAGTCACTGGGATAGTTGTCTGCAAAAGTATTATGTTTACCGTTAATCCATCTGTGTTTTATTTTCACCGTGAAATATAAATGTTTACCGTTAATCCATCTGTGTCATATTGTCACCGTGAACTAGAAAGTATTATGTTTACCTTTAATCCATCTGTGTCTTATTGTCACCGTGAAATAGAAAGTATTATGTATACCGTTAGTTCATTTGTGTCTTATTGTCACCGTGTTCTAGAAAGTATTATGTTTACCTTTAATCCATCTGTGTGTTATTGTTGACCGTGAAATATAAATGTTTACCGTTAGTCCGTGGAATAGAAAGTTTTGTAAGCCACCCGAGAGTACATACAAACACCCATGAAATGCAGTATCTGCTCCCTGGAGCACCTCATTTATGGTGTTTAAATATAGTTACTCTGTTTGGTTAATGTATGTGTATTAAACGGTTTCCTTTGTATTTGTTTGTTACTGTGCTATTTGTGTTACTAACGGCTTTCCATAGTTTTTAATTTTGAACGAGCGTCCTCCAGCTCAAGTTAGTTTTACCAGTGTAAATGCATATTCCTTTTTATATGTATCCAAGATTGATAAAGATAGAATATCATTTCAATGTTAACAGTTTTATTTGTGGAACTATTTAAAGATATTTGAATAAATAACGAACTTTGACAATTCTAATACTTGCATACAGTACAATATATCATAGTGCATAGGAACTAAATTACGATCTAAATTCATATTTGTGGTGTCCGACGTGGTGGGAGATAGCTTACTGTACAAAAAGACGGCTACTAATATTCCATATTTTATCCTAATGCTAACCTTAAGCTTGTTTTACTTCTTTGTTTATAATTTTAATGATAGTGAACTTTTTGAACTTGCCGCCAGCAGAACTTTGGGCTACCTGCCATTACTGAATGCTCACGCGTTTATATACAAAAGTCATAAGTGTCACGTGAAATACTAATCCAATAGTTACTTGTCCTTTCCGGGAAGCCGGAACTTTACAAAATTACGATATTGAAAAACATAGAATTGAAATCATCTTGAGTTGTCCTTTGATTGTCCTTTAACATAAAACATTAAAACTAAACAATAGAGCTCATAATATCAATAAAATAACTTGAAATATGCAATCGGAAACCATTGCGTGCGCATTAATTTAGCAGACGATATTCGCAAGTACATAGAAGTAAATAACATAAAACATAGTTCATCACAACCATCTAAATATTTACAATATATTTGTGTTCGGCAGGGTATAACCATAAAATATTAAATGTGTGGTATTTAAAATACAATATTAAATCAATTGTCCAGGGAACGAATTGGTATTAAGAGAGATAAAATCAACGTTTCATTCCCCACAAAATGGCAGACGGCAAAATCGCCGGTCAGTAAACAATTGCAGTTAAAGTATTATTTCCCTATGTATACCAGGCATATCAGACGTTTGAATATGAATATTTGGTTACCAGAAATGATCCTTAATACGGGAATTACATGATATATAGCATGAAGAAGGAAACCCATGAGTAATTACATACATTCCCTGCCGTAACACTTGTACACCAAAATAATGTAAACAATGATAAACTCATTTCAAATTCCAGAGCTTTCACAAAAAATCAGTTGCTTTACTGGATATATATCACCCTAGTACCAACATATGTACACACCTAACTTGTAAAACTATGTTTTGGCTAATGAAATGCCTCCCCCTGTAATTTATTGGCAAAAAGTGAAACTTTGGCCTGTGAAATCCATAAAAATAGTAAATTAATGCCATATCTTTGATTACAAATGTAAAATGTTTCACTTGCTCGCTGTCAAGTTACTATGCGTAAGAACACAACCGTTAAATTACAAAGATAATATTTCTGTTTCTGAATTTATAATTTCATAAGAAGTATTTCCAATGCCTTACAGTATTATGTATACCGTTAGTCCATCTGTGTCTTATTGTCACCATGAACTAGAAAGTATAGTGTTTACCTTTAATCCATCTGTGTCTTGTTGTCATCGTGAAATATAAAGTTTACCGTTAATCCGTGAAATAGAAGTATTATGTTTACCGTTAATCCATCGGTGTCTTATTGTCATGTTTACCGTTTGTCCGTGAAAAAGAAATATGAAATTGTCACTGTGAAATGGAAAGTACTATGTTAACCGTTAATCTATCTGTGTTTTATTGTCACCTAGATATATTCTGGTTTTACATTTCATAGTAAATTGCAGTGAGTTTGTGTCACTGTACAATGGGACAAGGTAAAGACATTAATAGGACAATAACATTTCCCCCTCTTTGTATAAAAAGGATGTCAGTAATTGGTCTAGGTGACACTCATCAAGTAATGGTTGTGTTTAAATAAAGACAATAATTTTTCACCTTTGTTTATTTATTTCACACACTCCAGTTGTTAAGGTTATCCGTCACTCAAATGTGAACAAAAATAGAGGATTGAGAAAAACAGTAAATAGAAAATTGTTGTAAATCGAAATATATATATTTTGAGTGTACAGAAAGTTAAGATTACCTTTAAGAAAATTGAAAATCTATAACTATATCCTTTATGTATGTCAAATCACCTTTCGATAAGAACATTTTACACTCGACTTGTTTTCAATTGTGGGATTTTGGATAGCGCAAAACACCAAAATAAGTTTAATCTTTTTAAGACAAAACCCACATCTGCTGTACAATTTTGTTTAAAGCCTGGTATCTATGATGAGTTAATTCTTTCAATGATGTTGCATAGAGTTAGTCCTACTATCTCTGTTTGTTTTTCTCATATATTGTTGTCAATATAATATAACGAAATTCTTTGCGACTGTCATACAAGTGAGAGGTATAGCTAGCTATAAACCAGGTTTAATCCACCATTTTCTCGATAAGGAAATGCCTGTACCAAGTCAGAAATATGACAGTTGTTTTCGATTCGATTGATGTGTAGGAGCTTTTGATTTTGTCATTTGATAAGGGGCTTTCCGTTTAGAATTTTCCTTGGAGTTCGGTATTTTTGTTATTTTACTTATTCTAAAATTGAAAACAAATTGATTGGAAATGAATTATCCTCACCTCTGCCAATTGACCTTCATGAAATAACACAATGTTTTATCAACCCTGGTGATGGTTTATCCAGAATAGCGTTACTGACCATATTTTGAAATAGTTATTCGAAAGGATTCAATAGTACACCATTCTTCGTTTTCATAATGGCAGTAAACTTGTATATCCTGTTGCAATACTTGATAAGTGATTGGATTATATTTGTGTCAAAGTTATGCCGAAAAACATTAAAGGTGTACCTTATTAGGTTGTTTATTAAATCTAAACTGAAACGAAAGCTCTTTGAATACATCACTAGTGAAAGATTTTTAGTCATTTTATTCTTAACATCATTTAAAAAGCCTGAACAATAATTTATTCAGTCGTGTTCTGTCTTTCAGTCAATTTCTGGCTAATCTTTAGCGATCAATTTAGTACTGTTCAGACAATACGCTTACAGTAAATTCAGTACTGGTAAGACAATACGCTTGCAGTAAATTCAGTACTGTTCAATAACTTTTAGAACAATTCAGTATGATATGTACAGCTAAATAACATCTACTGAACAGACCTTAATTGGCTGTAAGCGAATGGTTTGCAAACTAATAAGTTTACCGCAGTTGGTAAGTCTGGAAATAGACTGAAAGGTGGAAAACGACTTAATAATTTATTGTTAAGTACTTTAGAGCTGTTCAGATCAAAATGACCGTTTAGATAAAAAATGGTTTACTAGTGCAGGTAGTTAACATGTTGTACTTCGAAAAGAGTACTCGTACAGTAGGTATGGATTTTACAAATTAATGAAAAAAGTAAAATAAAAAAAATAAAAAAAACCGAACTCCAAGGAAATTCAAAACGGAAAGTCCCTTATCAAAGGGTTTTTGATTTGTGAATAACTTTTACAATCTATGATATTAGGTTGGGAGTTTGGAGTATATGATGAATCTTGATGTTAAATTGATTAAAAATTGTGTGTTAAATCCTTTATGAAATTAAACTGAATTGTCATGTATACTAGTAATTGTTTAGAACGAAATCATCTTGTTATTGCAGAAAAGTCTTTGCTGTATGTGTTAATGAATAGAAAAGTTATAACTAGTAAGATGTACATGTATTATTGCCAGTACAGAAGATAACGAAATATTTTTGGAGGCGAAAGGACTTCCAAAGAAATTGTTCATCAATTGGGACACTGATATTATATATACAAACTAGCAAAACCCATGCGATATATCAAGCTATAAAAGGCCCTGGCATGAAAAAATATGAAATAATCCAAGCGAGAAAAAACTGTAAGCTGTTTCTGACAATACATATTTTAGAGACTTTGTACCTCTTTGTATCTCCTGTGTAAGCATAATAACTAATACCAAATAACACATAACACATAACATCAATCATTAGCTTTAGGAATAATTATTGAAGTCATTGAATAAGGGTTCTTTTAGCCAAACGTAGTGTCTTTATCATAAAGTGGATCCATTAACAACTAAAATAAAACATGAAGTTCGTATGGAAAGTTGTGGTAGACATGTCTTTCATGGAAGACTTGCATTCAAGTTTTTTTTATATGAGGCAACTGTTGAGCCCGGCAGGTATTTAGTTTCTTACATATTGGACTTTGCATGGTTGTTTTACTTTTCATCATACTTTTCAGTAATCAGATATACAAATTTGCGGGAAATCGTATATCTTTTCTATGATATTTTACGATAAATCCCATAAACAATAAACAATGAACATCGGAAAAAATTCAACCGCAACTTTATTCTTTAGGACAATAGTATATATCCAAAATCGATTACGCGACAATGTATGCTTCCTTCGGGAGAATTCAATTGTTACTATGGTATAACGGTTTAAAAAAAATAAGACAATATTATATTGAACATGATTTAATAAACAATTAACTTAAATATACTTATTTACAATATACTATTAATTTTACGATATACTTTTCACTAAGAACAGTATTGCTATCAGCTAGACACCATTATACCATTGACAAAAATCTTATTACATGGTTAACCAAATCTTGCAGATGACCGAAGCTTTCAAGATATATGATGAGTTTAATTTCATGTGAAACAAACTATTCCATGTTGTGTTTAACATGTTTAAAGAGGTATATATTAACACTGTATTACATGTGGCTTTCTGTAACTAAACATTCAAGTTGGTATTTTAACTAGCAATTTATAATTACACAATCTGATTGAAACACATATATACTGTGTCCACAATTGATCCTGTATCTCGAACAATATCTTTGATAACTATACCAACCATATATGTCATTACATAATGCATGTATGTTAGTGAGTGTATGGAATCGCTACTTCTGATGTACAAAATGTTTTTAGGTGGTCAGAAGGAACTTTGTAGACTCTGGCAATGAAGGATCAGTACATAATGAAGGCACTTTGTAGACACTGGCAATGAAGGATCAGTACATAATGAAGGAACTCTGTAGACTCTGGTAATGTAGGATCAGTACATAACACAGTAATTTATTTTTACGTTATATAAATGCCAGATAAGTATAGTTTTCTTGACTCTTAAATAGATTCATTGGTTTTCATTTTTCTCTTTTTTTTTAACATTAACGTTTTACAAAAACACAAAAACCGAAATAAACACTCATATGGCACAGTGAAAATGTGTTTTGGGGAATCTTTTTACAGAAGAAAGAAAAAGAGTCGAAAGGATAAAAAGAGAGTAGACAAAACATCACATGTAAACAAAAACGTCACAAGAAAATGCAATTTTACATCAGACTTGGTCTAGAATTAGACCAACAATATACAAATCAGCACTATTGTTAAACTATTTCGATCTGTGAGTAATTTTCACCTGTATATAATCATAGGAAGTTTGATAGTTTACTATAGTTTAATGTCTTTGTTTGAACCAGAAAAAGGATGATTTAACGTTTATAAGATAAACATATCATGTTCTATTAATCACATTATTATTTTGGTTTTTGTGTGGTAGAATTGCACAAAAATGCTTTTCATTTTAAGTCCAAAGTTTGTTTTCAAAGGAAATTATTTATCTCCGACCTAGACCAAATCTCATCCCGTGAGACTTTGTACCGCACATCTTTCCAGTCATCAGATATTCAATCAATGTTTTTACAGAAGATAAGTCACATCTAGCACCTCGCCTGGACATCGGTGGCATAAACATACTAGCTAATCCCAAATCGGCCGCCATGTCCATCATATCCGACATTAAATCAGGATCTATTCTTTGTTTCCGTGGAGGAGGTTTTCGGTCAAATCTTGAAGGTTTACGTGAATTGTAATTATTATATTTATTGTTTGTAGTTGTAAGTTCATTCTTCGAAATAGCACTGTTTGCAATGTCTTTAAACTGTTGACGATTTGACGAACTCAAAACTTGGGACAATCTGAGTCTGTTTGCTTCCTGTTGTGGCAACAATCCGGAACTCCGTTTAGATATCGGTGTCGGTTTTAAGGGTTTAGTTTGAGTTTGGGATTGTTTAAAAACCCATTTTGTAGGGGTTGAAGAATTTTTTTTGCTTTCAGAAGACATCTTCCCAATGTTTTGTTTCAGTCCGAACAACGAACCTTGCTCTGTAGCAATTGTCTGACCTGATCTTTCTTGAAAATAAGGGTTTTGATTGCCTTCTAATCGACGTTGTGGATAGGGATCAGATTGAATCATCGATTGTTGTTGTGGATAGGGATCAGATTGACGCATCGATTGTCGTTGTGGATAGGGATCAGATTGACGCATCGATTGTCGTTGAACATATGGATCGGAAGGATTTCCTCTTTGATATGCATTATTTCTATTCAACCTGTTTATCGGGTTTTTATTGCCCGGTTGTCCTACTTTGATTGCCATTGATTCTTGCTGTCCTTGCATTGCCTCTTGTCTAGCTGCTTTCGCGTCCGCCCTTGACGACATTTGATCTGCATAATCAATATCTGCCATCATAAATGGTAACATTCCCATTAGCGGACTACCTTGCCCAAATCCACCGGAGAAAGGTTCCATATAAGGGGATGAAGTTGGACCCACATATGAGTCAAAACCTGTAATAAAGTACAAATATAAGGCACGGAACAAAGGTAAAGACAATAAATTATAAACATAAGATATTAAACAAGGGTATTGCCACTAAGTTACACTATTTGAAGATCGGAAACATAAATATAAAAAAAAAAAAATTCTTGATATACCATATATATGACCAGCAAACCCAACGATATAAAAAAAAAGAAAAGAAAGAAATATAAGAGTTATTGTTTTCATAGAGATGATTTTAGTAATTCGTAAGCTCATGTAGTCATGATCAGCTCTTTGTTTTGGGGAAATCAAGAATACGAGACCTGAGATGAATACATGTAGTATTTCATTATGATGTCTAAATTTGTCGGTGGCTGGTATAGGGAAATCATGAAAACCTTTTGTAGATTATTTTGTCTTGTATACGTGTATGTATTAAACAATTGACTGTTTCTGTCTGTCGTTTATGAAATAAATGTAAGCACGGTCAACGCGTGTATAGCGCTCTTATGCGTCAAAAAGAAACATTCAGTTCTTTTAATGTCACTATGTGCTTAAACGTTTGGGAGGAGAGGAATTCTAAGTACAGAGTGGTAGCGATTAGCCGCTGGAATAGGTCACTCATTGCTTAACAATAAATGATAAGGGCGAGGTATTTAGATTAAATATATAACAAGAATGCTGGTTATTTTATAAGTATATGTTGCCACTGAATAAAATAGTAGTATTTTAATAAATGTGGTAAAAAGCAGTCGTTAATTCATCAGACATTTATCAAATCTATTTTAACTTGCCATGAAATAGCTGAATAATGTTATCAGTCTATTTTTTGTCAAAAACATATGATAGGTATGTATTGTTTTTATATTCAAATTATATGAAAAGTTAAGATACAGCTGTTCATCTCTACCTAGTCATGGATTATAATATTTGAACATCTATAGCAATATACATATATATATATGCATATCTTATAGTCGCATGCTACCGATTTCAGTTTCTTGAAGAAGAAAAAAAAAAACATTTATTTAGTGCCTTTGAGATCAAAAGTTTGAAAAACTAAAAACTTTCGAACAACTTAATTTCAATATTTGCACATAAATTAATCAAATTTGATGATTGGAATCATGTCAATACAAAAACTCTGTCTTCAACAAAAATGTTTTGAAATCCAGGAAGAAAAGAAATTAATAAATGATTTCATGTTAATAAGTCGAGAGTGTCAGATTCAGGGAACCCACGCCCCCTTTTCTATTAAATTTGACGGTATTTCAATAACATTATGCTTATTTCTACCGCGCCCATTACACCAAACTCTTTATACCAAAACAAAAAAATCGATGAGCCCCTCTGCAGCCCCTTTAAAAATCCTCTATCCGACGCTGTAGTCTAAATAAATTACATCACGGGAGAATAACCAGATAATGTCAGTATACTATTTGTTAGGGACAGACATTGTCTCGAAAGAGGACCATCACCCACACCGATGAGATTTTATTGCATCAAATGACTAAAGTAAACAGTCCTAAAATAACTGGATTTTAATGGAAGAATGTTTAATTCTGAATGATTAATATGATATATGAATTTTTATGTCATTTGCTATTTGTTTTGAAACAAAGCTTCGTAGAAATAATATGTGTGACGTAATGTTAGTATATAGACTTAAATCTCAGGTATTTATATTGGACTGATATAGTCATTAACTTGCAATTTTGTCATAATTTTACGATCAAAACATTTAATATAGTTTTTTACAATCAAGCAAAACAATAATACTCTGATAATTACTATAGTTAAACGTTATAATTGAAACAAAAACATCTCTTTTTATGTCATTAGCCCCATGCCAAGTTTTAATCAATGTCACTAAAAAGGGAGATGATGTTCCTTGTTCATCTAGATTATGTTTTGATTGTTCAGTTTTAAATCATAATGGAGTACCATCATGGCTTGTTGCCTTTTCTTAAATCACGGTCATATTATGTGAAATTTTAGTATAATATGATCACTGTTATTTCAAGATTCTAAATAAATACATGTACCTTATGTATTCAAATTTACAGAGAAGATGTATTTGTTTACTATACATGTTTGCATGTAATACAAAGTAGCTTCTGAAAAAGCTGAATTTTGATTTACGTTCTAAATGGTCAATATGTATTCAGAAATATTTCGGATAAAATCCTAATTTCTTTGATTTAAATTAAAACACAACATTTAAACACAGTCTGGTTTGAAGAATGAATCAAAACGGTGGATTCACGGTTCTCTAACATTTGAAGATTCTAACTCACGTCTATCTAGCAATTGTCAAACAAATAGACAGTTTTTATGTGTAAATAGTGTATAAGACCATTGCTGATCATTTTGATACTTTTTTTACAACTGTAGCAGCAGAATTAGTAAACAAATTACCAAATGCCAAAGGCATATTTAGTGTTGTATCATCTATTTTTTGTTTTAAATTATAAAAGGAGAAATCCTACTGATATGAAATTTTTATTGAAACCTGTAACTAAAGATTTTGTGTATAAGGAATTGTCATCGCTCAATATTACAAAGAGCACTGGTTTAGATGAAATACCTGCAAACTTTATCAAGGATGGTGCTGGTATATCACAAAAGCCAATCACAGCAATTATAAATCAATTAATTTTGACTGGCGTTGTTCCAAATAGTATGAAATATGCAAGAGTGAAACCTTTATGTAAAAAGAATGGTGCTCTTGATGTTGGTAATTATAGACCTGTTAGTATACTTAGCATTGTATCGAAAGTTCTTGAAAGGAGTGTTTATAACCAATTATCAGAGTTTTTACGAAATAACAAATTGTTATTTGAATTTCAATCAGGTTTCAGGGGTAAATACTCTACTGATGCATTTCTTATACATTTATTAGATTATATAAGAAAAAATAATTTAAATGTACTTATACAGGAATGATTATGTTAGATCTGCAAAAAGCCTTCGACACTGTCGACCACAATATTTTAAATAGTATGAAATATGCAAGAGTAAAACCTTTATTTAAAAAGAATGGTGCTCTTAATTGATGTTGGTAATTATAGACCTGTCAGTATACTTAGCATTGTATCGAAAGTTCTTGAAAGGAGTGTTTATAACCAATTATCAGAGTTTTTACGAAATAACAAATTGTTATTTGAATTTCAATCAGGTTTCAGAGGTAAATACTCTACTGATGCATTTCTTATACATTTATTAGATTATATAAGAACAAATAATTTAAATGTACTTATACAGGAATAATTATGTTAGTTCTGCTAAAAGCCTTCGACACTGTCGATCACAATATTTTATGTTCAAAGCTTCTTACCTTTCTGATAGAATTCAATTTGTATCTTTAGATAATGTTATGTCGGAACCCATGGAAGTCACATGTGGTGTCCCCCAAGGAAGTAGCCAAGGACCGCTGTTATTTATAACATATATTAAAGATACGTCAATCAGTATTGATGAAGACTGCAAATTAATTTTATATGCTGATGATAGCGCTGTTTTATATACTCATACAAATCCAGATACTATTTCTACAAAATTGGGAAAAGTTCTAGAAAAATGTTCAGACTGGTTAGTAGATAATAAACTGTCATTACATCTAGGGCAAACTGAATGTATGCTTTTTGGACCTCCAAAAAAAGATCAGGCAAAATATTAATTTAAAAAAAAAAACAGGTCAAATGTAATGATCACCTTATCAAATCGACAAATTGTGTCAAATATTTCGGAGTTCACATTGATAAATTTTTAAATTGTGAACAAATTATTTCCAATATCATAAAAAAAGTTAATGCAAGATTAAAATTTTTATATAGATATGCAAAATGTTTGGATACTAGATCAAGGATGACTCTCACATCAGCTCTGATAACAATGCTATTTCGATTATTCCTTCTCTTCGTGGTATAATAGTCTGGGCATAGGGATGACAACAAAATTGCAAGTTGTACAGAATAAGGTGGTGAGATTCATCCTTGGTCTGGGTCCAAGGACTAGAATTACATGTGATATTTCAGAAAAAGTCAATATGCTATGCGTAAAAGACAGAGTTAGTCAACTTAGATTAAACCATGTATTCAATATATATCATGGACATGCTCCAGAGTATTTGTGTGAAAATTTTGATTTAAATAATCCAGAAGTTATGCACATAATAATTATTTTGTACCAAATATTAAAAACTGTAATAAAAACAGCTTTGTCTATAATGCTATACAAGACTGGAACAATAGATGATCCAATATAAATAATATATCAAATAGATCTGCTTTTAAGACTGCAGTTAAAATACAATTAAGAATAACAGCAAGAAATATAGAAACTGGAGATTTTTTATATGTTTTTAAGAAACATTTGATCTTTCTTTCTTTTTTTTTGGTGAAAGTCAAATTTTAACAATAAATTGAAATATTATTTTTATATATTTTCAAACAAGGGACATCATTGGAAATAAGCTATACTATGTAAGCTTCTATGGGATATCCCAGGCTTTTTTTTCTAAGCACTGTTTTTAAAATATATTATGATACTATTTTAAAAGTATATATATACATATTATTGTCTTGTCTTATGAATTTTTGTATATGTGCTTGAATTTGACTGAATAAAACTATAATATACTATACTATACTATTTGTCCATTGGTGATTATAAAAATATCGTCCTGAACATGCATGAAATATTTGGACGTTGAGCAACCCACAATCAATCAATCATTAGTGCTAATATAGTAAGTCATTTTATATGATTGCAAAATCGTATCGTTGTAAATTATTGTCATTTGTATATTAGTGCTCTTTGATGAAATAAATATATATTTTTTTTCTAATTTTGACTTCTTCCTCAACTATAAATTCGTCAGATCATTCAAACATTTATTTGAATTGGATTAGCTGTGATCATTTTAATGTTTATTTGAGCTGGATTAATTAGCTGTGAATCTAATTACAGGTACATTCCATTAATCCTCATTGCATAAAAATCACGTTTCTCCAACAAGAAATGATTTACCTATATACATATTCAAATGTTAGAGTAACGTGAACACTTTTTTAACACCATCAAAACTGATGATATATGTGCATTAATAGTGTTATACTGTGAAGCAGAGGAGGGGAGACATTGTACACACGGCACGGCTGAACAATAGCGTTTTTTTGAATGAGATAATTACGGGGGTGTTTAATTACCTTGACTACCCATGGGGGTCTCGCACGGACGGCTAATGAGATAATAAACATAAGCAGTAATGATTATACAATCTACAATCTAATTGAACTGCAAATTCCAGGAGGCTGACGAGTTTCGTACTAATTCGGCTTGGACAATCATTGAATTTATTGATTTTAACTGATGGCATGTCCACTACACAAATAATCGTCACAATACAAAAATAAAAAGCTATTCTACGTGGTTTTTTGGTTTGTAACCATGATTTACAAAACAAAGGGTTAATGCAGCCATCTAAGAGCAATGTAAAATATATAGACTGAATTATTCTGATTTGGTTAGGATTTGACCAGTTTTAGGAAATTTCACAAGAATCTCCATACTGGAAGAAGAAAATTGTTCGTTTTCAGCGACTTATTATGGAGCAATGCATGGAGACTTAAGTAGATCGAATTTTAGAATGTATAAACAGTATTCGGAATTTTATAAGACTGTCATACAAGTAAGATGTTTTAATAGCTAGCTATAAAACCAGGTTATAGCCACCATTTTCTACATAAGGAAATGCCTGTACCAAGTCAGGCATATGACAGTTGTTTTCCATTCGTTTGATGTGTATGCGCTTTTGAATTTGACATTTGATAAGGGACTTTCTGATTTGAATTTTCCTTGGAGTTTGGTATGTTTGTTATTTTTTCTTTTTACTGATATAAATTGTTACTGACGAATTTTTGAAATATTACCAATAATGTATATAGAAATAAGAAGATGTGGTATGAGTGCCAATGAGACAACTCCCAATCCAAGTCACAATGTGTAAAAAGTAAATAATTATAGGTCAAAGTACGGCCTTCAAAATGGAGCCTTGGCTCACACCGAACCGCAAGCTATAAAGGGCCCCAAACTGACCAGTGTAAAACAATTCAAACCGGTAAGCCAACGGTCTGATCTATTTAAAAAATGAGAAACGAGGAACACTTATGCACCACATAAACAAACGACAACCACTGAACAACAGGCTCCTGACTTAGGACAGGTGCATACAAATGCAGCGGGTTTAAACGTTTTAACAGGCGCCAACCGTCACCCTAACCTGAAACAGTAGTGTAACATTACAACATAAAAAGACACACTATAACATATCAATTGAAATGGCTTAGCTCGATTAAAAAGACATATAAACAAAAAACAAATAAACATATTCTAAACGAATAAATTTGATCTATGACACAATATAATGCCATGTTCTTTTTTTTACAGAGACCGAATACAAATTCCCGCCAATACGGGACAGCTTCTTTTATAATACAAATTTACTCCTAACAATGTAAAAATAAAGTAAACATTTGATGTAACATATCAATCTTTGATATAAATTTTAGGTATGCAAAAGAGTACATTCGATATAAAAACTTCAACAAAACAATCTTTTTCCATATTTAAAACTGACGAAGGAACGCTAAAATCATACAACATGATCTGAAAGTTTTGCATATAGCACCTATAAAAATAAGAAGATGTGGTATGATTGCCATTGAGACAACTCTCCACCAGAGACCAAATGACAGAAGTAAACAACTATAGGTCACCGTACGGCCTTCAACAATGAGCAAAGCACATACCGTTTAGTATAAATGACATATGTAAACAATTCAAACGAGAAAATTAACGGCCCGATTTATATACAAAACAATTAACGAAAAACAAATATGATATACAGCAACAAACGGCAAGTACTGAATTACAGGCTCCTGACTTGGGACAGGCACATACAGAATGTGGCGGGGTTAAACTAGTTTGTTGGCGACAAACCCTCCCCTAACCTGGGATAGTGATGTAACAGTACAACATAAATAAAAACTATGAAAATCAGCTGAATAGGGCTTAACTCATCAGATCGACACAAAGCAGAAAGACATTTAATAAAAACACAGACCGGACGTGGCAGGGTATTTATACATCCCCACAACAAAAAAGACAACAAGTACAGATCTGAGAGTACTCGCAGTTACTGACAGCCAATAACAACTAATAACAAAATCATGCATCTAAGACTAAAACTTCAATCAGTACTCATCAAACATCCATTGGATTTAGTGTAAAGACATCATTAACAGTCGGAGAATAACAATGTACAATGCTAAGACACAGGTATTGATATATTGTAGGGCCATGCATGTGTATATGTATATAAAAAGAATGTTTAGTTTGATTTTAATTTACTGATAACAAAATCAATAGTAATACCAATAAAAACAATATTCAAATATCTAATTATCTTGTCTTAGAGAGGGATACATCCTACTTTGTAAAAAATCACTCTGATTCCAACAAAAAATTCTCTGAAACTGACATCATCAAGATGCTTGATTTGATGATTGACAACATATTTGTTACGTTTGGAGGACGTGTTTTTCAACAAACAATCGGCATTCCAACTGTGCCCCTCTTCTTGCCGACTTGTTCCTTTATTCATATGAAGCTGACTTCATACAGGAACTTCTTAGGAAGAAAGAAAAGAAGTTAGCAGTATCCTTTAACTTTACTTTCCGCTTTATAGATGATGTTCTCTCACTAAATAATTCAAAATTTGGTGACTATGTTGAACGCATCTATCCCATCCCATAGTGATGTGGGCATAGAAAAGAGTATTACGGGCGTGATTACGGGACTCGGAACAACTGGATAGGCTTACCTTGATATAAAAATCACAGATGCTTTAATTTATTTTTTATAATTTTGAAATGCTTGAGGTTTTTTTTAATTACTCAGATTGATTCTATATCAGAACATCAATTATTTTCCAAGAAGTTAGCTTGATGAGATAAACTTAAGACTGAAAGTTATCTTTTTTTGTTTATTTAGTCGTTGGATTGCTAGCATTGGCTTACTTGCGTTTCTTCATATCACAGAAGCTTTATATCTATATGGAAGAAACCCTCAACCAATTCAGCTAGTAGAAACAAAAGAAATTAATCCCTCAAAGACTCTTCGGTAAAATCTTAGAGGGAAAACAGGAGTTGTCTCCCTTTTACATTATTTAAGTAATTACTAACCTCTTGTTCTCGTGCTTTGTCGATTCTGTTGTAAGAAAGTGTTGATAGAGTCCAAATTTACCAACAGTAATAAACAGATGTATACCTTCATTCTGTAAGAAAATTAACAGTCAATTAATGGCTAATTTAGATTTTCGATTTAAGAAAAAAAAAAAGGGGGGGGGGGGTATTTCCATATATGTTATATATTTTTAATTATTCGTCAAGTTTCCATTCACCGTTTCTTCTAATACTGAACTCACAGTTTTATTTTTTTTTTCTGGCAAGTTTTGTATATGTATAATGTCGCACCAGCATGACGCACTCTTCGTTTTGTTTCACCCAAATAAACGGAGAACGCAAATGACAATCATTGGAACGAATCTGCTTTGATAACAGAAGGAAAAATTCCGCGAACAATAAGTTTAATGATGATGAAAATTCTAGATATCAACTTACTCTCATAAAATAGCCATTTGCTGAAAATAACATTAATTGAAAATTAACGGTCATAATTATTTTTATAAAAGAAGCCTATATTTTGCAAATAACTTACGGAAAGTAATACAATATTGCCAAGGGGACTAGGTGTGTATTTTATAATCAATCTGATTCTAGGCATAAAAGCTGAATTAAATCGTCATTGTTGGTTCGTGTTACAGATAATTTATAGCTGAGCACCCACTTACTTGTTATGTCAGGGGGACTTTATTAAAGGTTTAATTTCCTCGGGGGAGGGTGTACGCGTAGTAATATAGCATAATTGTAATTCACCAACTGGAACTGATTAAATCCTTTGAAATTTTTTATTTTCACTTCAATTCATAAAGCAAAATTAGATACGATTACTAAGCAGTCAATTGTTCAGTTAAATTTCAGCTGCTTCAAGTCAATTTTCCTTTTTTCTGAAATTTCTACAGTACATTTTTTATGAATTGATTTTTGTTTGCTTCAAATCCAGTGGCAAATATATCATGCATGTTCAGGTAGAAATGTTGTTGAAAAAGGTAATTCCGTCAGGGCATTTAGAAAGAAACGTACTTTGACAATTATCTAGTAGAATTACTTCGGTGTCGGCTGGGCGGTCGGTCGGACGGGCGTCGGAGAGCTGATATCATGAAAGTGCCTATTCAACAAACTTGAAAAAAAATCAACGACTGCAGTAAATATATAATGTCAACCCAAGAACCGCATATGTAGATGTATATCCCTATAGATAATTGTATTGTCAGACGCAGTATGGTTCCTAAATATTAAGAATTACATGAACCTCGAAATGTGGTTCATACCCCTAATTTGGCATAGATTAAAAGCAACCATTATATTGAACAAGTTTACTAAGTATTAATTAACGTAACCACAACTTCATGGAAATAATTCACCAAAGTAGCCAGACTTATAATTTAATACTTCAGACGTTTGCCCAGTGACGTTCGAAGAGCAAATCAAAAACTTTAATCTGATAATGGACGGCGCGCATATCGAAAACATAATGTCCCCCTATCATCGTTTGAGGTGAGTAAAAAGTCAAAGGCATGATTGAGGGTACTATTATACTATCGAAAGCCATACAAGAAACTATATCAAACCAGTGGCGACTTCCAGTTTCACACTACTATTGTATATGTCAATTGTTAAGGAGTGTTGAAAGCTCTTCGTGTCTTTTTTTTATTGTAAGGTTGACATTTTTCCCGCATCTTATCATTTATAATACTTATAACATATCTTTTTTCGGCCACAAAAGTCATGATGAGTGACGAGTGGATTTCTTAGTGACCATCGTTAGCGGACTCATGAAATGACAGCATGCTGGCTATTTTGTCTTATTGTACAGACTGAATGTATTTGGATATGCATTAATAACTGGTCTTATGTCAGACTGTTTCTATTTTCTGTTACATTCATCGTATAAAACATATGATATGAATCATTTTGTACATTGTTGTTGAGTACATATTTTTGGAAATATTTTATACAGTATTAATATTTATGACGCTGTAAACTGACGGGCCATGCCGTTTTATTATGTTTTTATGTACTGCGTATTGACGCTTCATCCCTCACTATGTAACAAAAACATTTTGTTCAAATGCATGACAAAAGGTCACTTCTCATGCATTATAAACATCTATGTTAAAACAATAAGAGTTTCTTTTCCACTTTTATGAAGTTACAACATAAATCGAAGTTCATTATTAAAATTAAACTACAAATTAATTTAAGGTTAATCTCTCAGTTAGCTCTTATTTTGATTTAAAAAAAGATAAAAGTTGAATTTTCTTTGAAGTTTAAATTAAATTTGGCAAAACTTGTATCATATTAATACTACAAGTATTAATTGAAATAGAATAAGGAGATGAGAGGAATATCCACCAAAATCAAAATGAAGTGAATATAAGCATCTGTAAGTCACTGTACGGCCTTCGACAGTAAACAAATCCATATTACTAGTATATAGTCAGCTATTCTGTTTCGATAAAATTTATGCAAAAATTTGTTAAACTCTTTTATTTAGAAACCTAACTGAAATCTAAAACTAAATGTCTGTATCTTTCCTTCATTCATTTAAACGACATGCTTTATTTTGCATTTAAATCATTGTCATGGGAAGCCTTTTATATACAGAAATAGTATATTGTTTTTGCGTAACATATTAATCTTGATAAATATATAGACGATCGGTCTCATTAAAGTTAACATCATAAAGATACAGATATAATTATAATCTAGAGATGAGTGAACATTGAATAAAAATTAGAATCAATGTCAAATAATTTATGTTTATTATGATAATTAATAAAAAAAAGTATTTAAGAAATATTTAAAAAAAAAAAAAAATAAATACGCGTAAATATTTGTCTTACCTGACTGTGTGACATTCATGCATTGAATATAACTGACTGAAGACAACTGCTTTATTAAATGACCTTAGATACTTGATCCGTGTTGACAGAATAGCCGTAGGTGTATTGGTTTGTTGATCCAATCCTCAAGCTTTTCTAATTGACTTTACCCGTATTGTTAGTGTATAATTAGCGGACCAATTAATACCTTGTATAGTTTACATGTACATATAGGTAGGTTTATGGCAATGGACGTATTGTTTTAATTGATATCCATACAGGATGGCGTAAATACATGTACAATATTAATTGATATATAATGGGATTTCGATGTAGTCGCTTATCCATTTAGAATTAGGAAAATAAACGAATTATTTAAACCTCAGTAGAGAAATAAATGCGATAGGCGAAATAGATATTAACAATTACAAACCACGGAAGAGAACTGGGATAGCCATTAAATATTACACGGAACCCATATTAACACGTTATTTGATGACTTGTTTATACCTTTTCCCCGGACACCTCATTTTGTCTAGCTTTATTTTTTATTAAATATTTTAATGTATGAAATATGGTTTATTGTAAATTATACACTTGAACTTTTTAGAACCGGTCTATTTAGAATATAGTTACTAGTATTGGTTTTTCTTTACTAAGTGTTGCCGATCGGAAAAGTAACTGAAAAACGCACCATTTAGTGTAGTAAATCTGTAAGGGCTACTTTCTCACGGGTATTGCAAAAGGATGACAAATTCATCTGAAAGAGAGGAGAGAATAAATTGCTTAAAAAATGAATTAAATAAACGTAATATATTGCGTTCAGTTAAACTGTAATTATGTGCTGTTCTCTATATGATAGCTGTGTCGCCCATCTCAGCACTCAAACAGTTACAGTGACTTGATTGTAAGTGTTTCTTTCCACCTATTGTAGATTATTCAAAATTCTTACCCAATTGGAATTTTTTTTCACAAATCAAAATGTTCAACTGGTTCGAAATTTTAACCAACTGCAAAGTCAAGTCATCAAAGTCAAAGTGATAAAATAAAGCACGAAAGGAACAATCATAATCATATATTAAATTTTCAATTTTTATTAGTGTTACAGGTGGTTTTTTTTGCATTGTTATTTTAGCAGTACAGTTGGGGAGATTGTGCAGATTAAACTACTTTTCATAAGTGGGGCGAGTTTGCAGGACTAAATTCATCGGGAATTTACTCTATTCATAAGTGGGCCGAGTTAGCAGGACTAAATTCGTTGGGATTTTACTATTTTTCATAAGTGGGGCAAGTTAGCAGGAGTAAGTTTAACGGATTTAACCCTTTTTCATAAGTGGGGCGAGTTGGTGGGAAAGTGAGGCGATTTGGCAGTGGGGCGACTTCTCTTGCTTCCGGATAGAAGATAAAGTTGTTTACTACCTCATCATGACAAGCACGTTTTATTTTAAATTGCTGTGCTATTTTTGAATTAAAAGACCAATGTTTTCTCTTGCCCAATCGTCAACTGATAAATACGAGATTAAAGTCATAAGAAACGAGGTTCTTAAAATTATAATGTTACGGAAATTATTGAACCAATGCATGTATATATGTTAAACTATGTCCTTTATGCACCATGCAGCACGATTTATTTACATTTATTACGAGTCCATAACATAACCAATCAAAATATTTTATTCATTGACAAATTTTTGTGCTAATTAACTTTCGGATTTTATTGCCGAAGTTTACCGATCGTGACCTTAATAAACAATAAGCACAGATTCATGGAGCACGTGAAAAGTATGTGAGGTAATAGACATGCAAAAGTTTGATTTTTTTTTAATATACTTTCCATGCGTTTCCATATTTTGAAAAACTTTGTCATAACAGTTACTGTTGTTAAATGTTTTGATTTGGTGTATTTTAAAAAAGTTTTCTTTTAGAATCAATTAATCAATTCTGACATCGGACTCGGACTTCTTTTACTGTGCGTATTGCTGTGTGTTTGTTTTTTCTACATTGGCTAGAGGTATAAGGGGAGGGTTGAGATCTCACAAAACATGTTTAAACCCGCCGCATTTTTGCGCCTGTCCCAAGTCAGGAGCCTCTGGCCTTTGTTAGTCATGTATGATTTTTAAGTTTTGTTCATTTATATGTTTTGGAGTTTAGTATGACGTCCATTATCACTGAACTAGTACACATTTTTGTTTAGGGGCCAGATGAAGCACGCCTCCGGGTGCGGGATTTTCTCGCTGTGTTGAAGACCCATTGGTGGCCTTCGACTGTATTCGGGTTGTTCGGGTTGTTGTCTCTTTGACACATTCCCCATTTCCATTCTCAATTTTAACCTTATCTAACCTCAATATAAAAATACGGAGATGTGGTATGGTTGCCAATGAGACAACCAAAGTTCAAATGAAGTGGATGTAAGCAATTATAGGGAACCGTACGGGCTTCAACAATGAGAAAAACTCATACCGTATAGTCGGCTATAAAAGGCCCCAACATGAAAAATATGAAACAATTCAATTGAGAAAACTAACGGCCTAATTTATAACAAAGCAATTAACGAAAAACAAATATGACAGACATGAACCAACGACAACCACTGAACTGCAGCCTCCTGACTTGGGACAGGCACATAAAGAATGTGGCGAGGTTAAACATGTTTGTGAGGGCTCAAACCTCCCCTAACCTGGGACAGTGGTGTAACAGCACAACATAAGAACAAAACATGTGTGTGGGCGTTCAAGCCTCTCCTTACCTGGGACAGTGGTTTGCCAGGACAACATAAGAACAAAGTTAACTATTGAAATCAATAGAAATGGGTTTGAGCAATCAGATCGATATTTACAAGAACACCAAAGACACAAAGTACTGATCTAAGATTAAGTGTAAAGACAGTCATCATAAGCAGTATAAGAAAATATGACCTTAATTGTGCATTGCCAAAATATAAGTGTCGACAGGATGTAGGACCGTAGTGTTAAAAACTGTATAGCGATACAATTTTAGTTAAGTTTTAATTATTGATAACAAAATCAATGTTAGTGCTGATAAAAAAACAATAGTCAAAAATCTAATTGCAGTGTTAAATTGATAACCCTTTAAAACATGTTTATTTAAAGGATCGATAAAATTAAATGAATCGATTCTAAGAGAACTATTGCATAACTCTCCGTGTGATTTTGGCTGTTGTAGAGGAACTCAAACTAACACACTCAGCTTTTAGATGTATAACACTATATCTAGTATAAAATACAAACCCAAAACTAAAAGACATTTAGTAAGAGGTTAAAAATAAAGGTCTTTAACAATAGACAGGTGTATAATATATTCAAGTTCTAATTTTCCTTGTAGCGAAAACTATTAATTTTTGGGGCCCTTTATAGCTTGCTGTTCGGTGTGAGCCAAGGCTACGTGTTGAAAACCGTACTTTGACCTATAGACGGGTTTATCTATAATCGACCTAGAATACATGGGCGCATCCATTAACTTCTCACTTGACCGGTCCGCCATTACAACCGTGAAAAATAACGCACGTGTATTGATCAAAACATTATCGATTTTCTGTTTACATTTGTATTTCCTTCATTTTCTTATTTATTTCACTATGGATACTGCCGAAAGTTATAAAAAAGGTGGAAGCATTTCTTGTGCAGTTAATAGTTGTACAAATAATCGTAGAAAATTTTAGAAGTTGAAAAGATCAATAAATCAAATATGTGAATTATACAAGTTGTGCCGACTGCACACAATCCGATTTTTTTAATATAAAACTTATGAAAGTAAAATTACACTGGCAGACGAATGTTGACACGCCGTCAAACGACTGTAAAAAACTTAAATTATTTATGAAAATTAATCCGATGACTACAGTTCATCTGCCTCTGTTTGTATAGAATATCTACACATCAGATGCGGATCCAGGATTTTGAAAAAGGGGGGGGGGGTCCCCAAACAAGACACGATTTGTAGTGGAAGCGGAAAAAAGTGAATGAAGCTTCATAAGGGGTCCGGGCACCCCCTCAATCCGTTCCTATACATTTCTTTGGATAATAACAATGAAACCTACCCGAGGCTACATGCATGTATACTAGTAGTTAGAATTGGATCCAAATCAACCAAGTATGAAGAGACGAACGTTTTTTAATATACATGCCGACTATCTTTATGCTGCAAAATGGACAGACGTTCGGACAACATTAACTCAGACCAACATATTAATAACAGAGGAGTGAGGAGTTCAAAATTGAATAAAATGGTGAATCCACGTCAGCGTATAGACATATTATGAATGACAGTTACGCCTTATTGTATACTTATGTAACTAAGTTTTCTTTAATTTAGTGGAATTACAACATAATTTAATTTTTAACTGCGATATTGCAGATCACCAGTTGTTCGATCGTACTGATGAGGTTAACACTTAGTTCGATATTTGGTTATTTGGGATGGCGCTTTCATATTTCGAAAAGTAAGGCTTGTAAACTATTTTATTCATGGGTGCCAGTTCTTGCTGAAAAACATAAAGGTTTTACAAACAGCTGCATCCATAGACAAATCCCAGCAAAACTTTCTATTAAGGGCACTTCTCTATAAACCTCGTCTTAATGGTCCATATATGAAGGCATATGCATGCTTAAAGTATATATTCACTTTGCTGTCTTTATACAACGTATACAGTATTTTCTGTTGAAACTTGATTTGAACTTTCCTCAGTCGATTATTCTGTGCATGAATTATAAAATCTTACACATAAGAAATGACTTTTCAAAGGTCTTGGTAATCAAATAGTTTACCAGAACCTACGGAAGCGTAGCCATAATCCGACGATCCGAAATTCCGACAGTTCAGTAGTCCGATGGTCCAATATACATCCCTAATGTAATACTGTAATACTGTATTTTACTGTATTATATACACCGGGGACTGATTCAAGATGAAAATATACGAGACCTCTGTTTTGGGGTGGTGGGGAGGGGGAGTTGGCAAAACACTAAATGACGCTTTTAAAACATATAACTAATCATTGCTTTTAATTTACATGTTTGCGTCTTTTGTGGTTGAATGACATTCATTCATTTTTAGTACGGGCCGGAGCATGATTTTATA